TGGTTTAGCCGGGGCTGATCCTGCCTCAGGCAGAGGCTGGACTAGACGTGACTGGCTGGAGCTCCCTTCCAGCCCCCACTTTAGGATTCCATAAAACCCTGACGGACCGAGCTCTCAAGAGGTGCTGGGTGTCAAACCCAGGCGCAGCCAGAGGCAGGGCCCTGCCTTCATGTGCCCACGGAAGCTGCTTTGGCCACCACCAAAACGCAGCTGTTTCTGGGGCAGAGCGTGGAGGGAGCTGGCACGTCGGTGGGAGGTGACACGTCTCAGTGTAACCAAGAGGGAAGGGTTGAAGAGGCGTGGAACAAGCCGGGATGGGTGGAGGGTGAGAAGAGGCCAGAGATCCACCTAAGGGCATGACTGGCCTCCTGCTCCCTGCCCCGTGGGGTTGCCCCAGCCCCTCCGCCCAGCCGGCGCTCCCCATACTCACTGCCGCAGCAGCTGGCGCCCTTCTTTCCATACCAACGGGTTGCTGTCAAGCGAGGCCATCTCGGCCGGGCCATTGGACACTGGAAGGAAGGAGACGACAGGCAGCGCTGAGGCATACGTGTCCCTGATGTCTGGCATTACATAACCCCCTCTCCCCGATGCCCTCACCCCCCACAGCAGTTTGAAGCCAAGCCCCCAGCAAACACTGATGAGTCCAGACTGCATGTCTGGCTGCGGCTGCCCCGTTGCTGGACCCCAGGCCCAACTGGGCTCGGTACCTGGTTCCGATGGATCCGCCCTCTTCTCCCCCTGGCTGGGCTCGGTCCCAAACTTCAGCTTGTGATACTTGGACCTGGGAGGAGCAGAGAGGCTCAGCCTGGCCCCACCAGGGAGCACAGGCAGTGGGGTGGGGAGAGCATAGCTGCTCTGTCCACACTACAGAAAGAACCCAGGAGTCCTGTGCTGGGCTCCATCTGGAGCACAAAACCGTGTCTTCTGGGGCTGGAAACCTGGCCACGGCTGAAGGTTTCATGCCCATGGGACCCAAGCAGCCCCATGCCCTCTCCCAGGTCCCCCCCACACCCCTTTGGCGGCAACGGGTCGCACCTCTCCTGCTTCAGGGCATACTCCAGCATCTTGATCCGCCGCACCAGGTCTGTCTTGAGGTTTTCTTGGCCCTTCCTCTCACCCTGCAGAAACACCACCTGGGCCTGCAAGGGGGAAGCCAGAGCTGGGCGTCACTCAGGGTCTAGCGGACAAGGGGCCGCCCCGCGCCCCCGAGAGCCTGAGTTCAGAGGAAGGCTGATGCCCCACCTCACTGCACTCATATGACCTCTACTCGGCACTGGGGAGGCCACATCTGGAGTACGGAGTCCAGTTTTGGGCCCCCCCACAACAGAAAGGAGGCGGACACATCGGAGAGAGTCCAGCGGAAGGCAACAAAAATGGTTTGGGGGGCTGGAGGACGTGACTTGTGAGAAGAGGCTGAGGGGACTGGGCTGATTTAGTCTGGTGAACAGACGACCGAGCGGGGATTGAATAGCAGTCCCCGGCCTCTCTCCCCTCTGCCAGCTCCCTTTCCTCAGAGCACCGGGGCATCAGACAGAGGATGCCTCTTGTGGACCCCCCACCTCCTCCACTGCTTGTGTAAAGTGTTGTGCTGGTGGCAGGGGACCCTGGGCATGTCCCTACGTCGCAGACGCCGACCGGGCCGGTACCAGAGATGCAGGCTGGGTCCCGGCTGGATGCCACTCGGCCAGTCTCTGCTCTGGTGCACAAGCCAAACCCGTGCTCCAAGACCCCCCGGCTCCGTGCCTGGTGTGGTTAGGTGCGCACGGGCCAGGACAGAGCAGCATCTGGCCCTTCCTAGCTGAGGGGGCTTGGGGAGTGCAGGGCTCGCTGCGTCCGGCGTCAAGGTGCTAATCCGAGGTGCAGCGATCTCTCCAGAGAAGTCCCGCAAACACCCCTCCCGGGGGCCAACCCCTTGCACCTGCGGTGAACCACAGGACAGGAGAATGCCCCCCACCCGAGGCGGCAACCCGCAGGGCTGTAGGCACCAGGCCAACGGTTCACACGCCGGCCGGCCGGCCTGCCGCAGGTGCCGGAAAACCCACGTGACGCTGGATAGACCGTCCCCTACCCCGACGGGCTTCATCTCCCCCAGGAAGCAGGGGCTGACCCGAGCCGCTGCAGGTGAAGTTACAGGGGCAGCACGTGACGCCGAGGTCAAGGTCAGCACCGCGTCCACCTTGGGGCCAGCCCAAATGCCCGTTTCCAGCTGGGTCGTTTAAAGGCAGCCTTCGGTACCAGGCCAGAGGCACGAGACGCCTGTCAGCACCCCCGGCTGGAGACGGGGCCCCGCCGCTCTCTATGCCCAGGCCCCGCACCCCGTTGGGGGGGGGACACACACAAAGATGGGGCTCCAGGGTGGCGACCAGACCCTGCGAGCGAGCGAGCGAGCAAGCGAGCGTGCGTCCTGGGCTGCTTGGGAGGCCCGACCCCCTCCCCCTCGCCTTCCAGCTTCCTCCGCTCAGTCACGGGACGCGACATCCTCTTTGCCCGGAGGCTGCTGCCCCGCGCTGCCCTCTCGGCCCCTCCCCGGACTCGCCCTCCGCCTTATCAGCGCTTCCTTATTTCCTCCTGCATCCGCACGCCCCGTCCAGCCCTGGCCCGAGCCGCCCGCCCGCCGTCTCCCAGCTCCCCTCCC